TATATATATATACCAAATTAAAACTCTGCTCTAACTTTGGACCAGTTTAAAAATTAACAGTTGAGCACGGCCATATCGGGCCACTACAGGGAAGGACAGGTGCTGTGTGTGATTGGTATGCAGCAGCTTGTCTTTCTCTATGGGACTATGCGGTCGTACGCTGCCCTACGCTCACCCAACCTGCACGTGCGTACGGGTGCGGGTGACCCTGCTCGGACACAGACAGGATCCATCCTGTCAGCGTATGAGTATGGACACCCGCACAGATGTGCAGGTCGGGTGAGTTTAGGGCGGCGTAGGCTGCATACTCCTATAGAGAAGCACAGGCTGCTGTGTATAATCACACGCAGCACCTGTCCTTCCCTGGAGCAGCCCAATACGGCCATGCACGCAGCACAGATCTGTACAGGCTGGCCGTTACCTATGTGAATGAGGGCTTAGGGTCACGGGAGGACTTATACTAACATCCTCCCATGACCCAAAGCTCAGTATATAGGGGGCTATTGCCTGCTATATACCGAGAGCGCCGCAGCCAGGACAGATCCCGACAATACTGTTGAGATCCACTAGGTTGGTTGATTGACAGCGGACTCTACCTATCTAGAGGCAGAGCCAGGTGTTCCTGCCCCCTCCCCATCCGTTCCTCCAGTCAGCGATTGAGGATCGGAGATGGGAGGGGGGGAATCCCTGCGGGGAGTGGTGACTGACAGTCACCGCTCTATGCAGGACGAGAATCAGTCAATAGAGCCGACGTGTGACAGTTTCAATGTCACACATCAGCTCTAACTATGAGGATGAGCGTAAATCACTCACCTCATAGTTCTCTTTTAAGTTCATGAGCTGAGATGTGGAGTTGTTCTTTACTTGTAAATAGTTTTTTGACTATCAGTTTGCAAGCTAAACATAATTTGTAATGGATGAAAAGTCTTAAGCTGGCTAGACACAGGCAGATCGCCTGAAGGATCTAGGGAAGGATTCTTTTTGTGGTGATAGCAGAAGCTATGCTGCCTACTGTGGACCAAATTATACTACCAATTTTTGACATGTGCTGTACTTGTTATACTGGACATATCCTCAATCTTTCCTTATTCTGCCATATAATAGTATACTGCCCGGATAATAGCCCAAGTATGATAATGTATAGCAACATGTCATATGGAATTAGTATGCTTTCTTCCCCTAAGAAAGTGTAGTGCATTTTTTTCTAGTATACCTTTAAACACATATGATCTGGAAGCTATAGCAGCACTCTACAGACTGGTAAGACTTGAAAATGTGATCACCCCTGTTGTGACTGTTAAGGGGCACAAGCATCAGAAGGGAGCACACTTTACTCCCCTGACCATAAAGATTTTCCTCCAAATACTCTACCCAGCAGCATTTTGTATTTAATGTGTATCTAAACCGAAAAGAAAACTGTTATATATTTAAGTCCTTAGATGTAGTGATTGCATTGGTTTTTTTTCCAGAATTATTCCCTGTTTTGTTTTAACTTGAAATTTTGTGAATAACACAGAGTACATCTCTGCAATACATACACATGTTGTATCCCAATAAAAATGCTGCAAATACAGAAAACTACCTGTTAATCCTGCCAGAATGTCCAGTAGGGTAGAACCTGGACAAGGCTGACAACAATGCTTGAGACTTCAGTGCAGCAGCAGGCAGAGTTATCAATTCAAACAGGAAGATAGGAGCACACTGAATTGCTGGAAGATTAACAGTTTTTTTTCTGTAGTTGTAGCAATTTTTAAGAGATTGAACGTGGAGAAATATGTATGTATTGAAAAAATCTACTTTTTATATTTTGCCCAGGCATGCACTTACATAAGTGTGGGGATTGTCCTCTTTCATACTGTTCCAGCTATCTGAAACAACCAGCTACAAAAAAGAAATGTAATATAGCAGTTCATAATAGAGTTTTCAAGAGGGAACCTGCATAACTTTCAAGAGGTAATTTATTACACATAAAGAAAGTTCAGATAAACAATATAGACTAGTTTCTAAACAACTTCCTGGTAATTTTTTCATTTTCCAGTTTCAATAAAATTGGTTTTATTTTCATTTAGTTTGGTGGATTTCTATATCAATTTTGAACTTTTTGCGAGGTGAGCCCAGCAAATTTTCTTTTTGTTATGAATTGTTCCCATTTTTACACAAAAAGGCAAACATCTGAAAAGCTTTGTGCCACAACACATACACATAGATTAATGCCAGTATATTAAAACTGCATATATTTATCTTGCTTGCTGCAGTATGACACTATGGATCAGCTGTGTTATAAGGCATAGCCATTAATCTAAGCAGGAAAAGAGTGGAGTACTGCCATTTGTTCGCTGCCAAGCTATAAGTCTTTTTCTAGGTCTGAATACTGCTTTGGTAAAACACAGACTATATTTTTATCTGGATTATTGTACAAGATAAATTATTTTTAAACCTTCATAGGTGGGAACATGGAACCCCTCTGATGGCCTCAACATTACAGAAGTTGGTAAAGGAAGAGGACCAAATGTCAGCGAATCATTGACCAATCGCACACTCATTGTCACTACAGTACTGGTAAGATAATTAATACAACATAATAATAACATATACTTCTATCCTGGTTTTGACTTATCATCGGTGTGTAACACGTCTTCTTTGCTTATGTCAAGAATCACATGGCCAGTAGATTTCTACAATTTTTTTTTAGCATATCCTCTAGCTATAGGTTATCTATACAGAACTGCTGCCTGTTTTTGATTTTCTAGAGCAGTGACAGAACAATCTGTGATGCCATCCATAAGGCTATCATATTTAAGATGATAGGATTAATTAGATGGAGCATTCAGTATAGCACTTCCCAAACTAAATTGATAATAAATGGTGGTTTGGATGCTAGTATCCAAACAGTATACTATAACTATACTGTTCCAAATCCAGTGGATCTTCCGATCTTGGATTTTACACTCATTATTTTAATATTTTACTATTTGTTGCACATCACAAAGGGCAAGGAATGCCCCTGCCACAATTTCAGGAATTGATTGGGTAAGGAGTGTGTTGGTTTTGAGCAGGCTTGGACGAACTCAGGCGAACTGGAGCCCCAGACCAAGCCCCAGCTCTTCGCTGCCTACTACCACCAATTAAGCAAAAATAGTCAAACCATCTGTCCTTACACACTGAGAACATGGAGAGGCCGCTGTGATATCATAGTGGCCCGGCTGGGTTCTCAGTGTGTAATGACAGTGAGTGTTCCTCGTGGCTCGCTCCGCCCAGTTTTAATGACAGATCATGACCTGGGGAAGCTGATCTTTCATTAAACAATAACAACTGGGCGGAGCTGGCTGGCTCTGCCAAGTTGTTATTCATTGGCCAGGACCTGCTGCAAGACTCTGGCAGGAGCTGGCCAATAGGAAACAGTTGTCACCACTAGCTCCGCCCAGTTGTTGGTTTTTATTTTCTTTTCTTTAAAATATATATATTTTTTCCTATTTTTATAAATTTTAAAATAGGTTTTCAACTTTTTTTTTTGCATTCTTTTCACTTCCTTTCCATTCTGGTCGGTACCTCGGAGATACCGAGCAGAATGGCCTAGCCGCATGCAGCCCAGCAGCATTCGGCTATTCACTCACTGCTGTTCGGCTCCTATGAGAATAGGATCGAACGGCAGTGAATGAGCTGCCGAAACTTCGGCTCAGCCGATCCAGATTTTGGATCCGCTGAGTCAAATCCTTCTCTCGATGTACAGCTGATTTTAGCTTTTGGCTCACTTCACTTCAGCTGGGTTATTCACTCGGCTGCCTTTGGCAGCCTTTGTGAATAATTCCCCTTACTGTCACCTCTTTTTATGGTGACCAATGTAACATTTTAGATTGCCTTTCCCTTTCTGCCTTGAATCTAGCTAATGGTGACACAGACTGAAAACTGAAAAAAAGGTTTTGCCTAAACATATCCTTTAATTTTTTAACAATTTTCACAATCACAAAAGAATCATTCATGTTTAGGCATATTCTTTAGCTGCTCTATCTGTGGATCCCAAATGGAGAAACAAAAACCCTTTCTTCCATGTTTCTCAGGCATAAGCTAAGAAATGAGAGGCATTGCACCTGCAAGACCGTTTTAAATGTGCAGGAAGCCCTGGGGATATACAGTAGCTCTTCAGGTAGTCTCTTTGACAGCTTTGACTGCAACACCATATGTGTTAAAATGCCTTATATTGTGAATAATATTATTTGTCCCCCTTCCACAAAAATTACATATTTTTAAATTAGTATTACTTTTATTTTTTCAAGCAGGAAATAGAAACAGTGATATTTACATTGAACATATAGTAGATGTGGTGTAAACTTTTAGGATGGGCATTATGGACATAACCAGACCACAATCATTGGCACACATTTACTGAAACTAAATCAAAGTGAAGCAGGACAGGTTTTTCTAGATACAAAAGGTAATAGCAGTCATCTTGCAATATCTGCTCTAAAGGAGGACTTTTATTTTCAAAAACTTGAAATTGAGTTTCATTTCATGGACCAGGCTTAAGTTTTTTTTTTGTTTTTTTTAAAGATTTAAGTATACCCATACAATATATATTATTTAAGTATACAGGGGTAATCAAACATCACCACTCCAGATGTTGTCGAATTGCAATTCTCATAAGGTATTACAAGACAGCCACAGCCATGATGGGATTTGTAGTTTCACCGCTGCTTTAAAAGAAAGGTTCTATTAAGTACGTTTAGAACCCAGTGTACATTGTAAATGAGCCTTATCATTTTGACTGATTTGGTCTGTAGCAGTTAGTCAGATCCCCTCATATTTTAATTTACAGTCATATAAGTTGTATTTTTAGTTAGCTGTGAGATGCACATACTTTGTAAAATGATGTTAAGAGTTGGAATCCTTCAGGCCATCTGCTCTAATTATATCCATTTTTATCAAGCTATGGATGCCCAATATGGCTGTGTTGAAATATTGATAATTCCCCAGAAAAAGAGCATGCCCTAATTGTGATGGGGTTTAATCGTATGGAAAAAAAAAGCCATGGGATGAATTTCTAGATGGCCAACTTCCTATTTCATTTTCCATTCCTTGTTGTTAATATTGAAATGACTTGTGCAGTGAAAGAGATGTGACCCAAGCAGCAAAAACCACTCTCCCATAGCAATTTCACAGCATACAATATTCCATATCGAGGGCACCTCTGGCCACAGAATCGATTTAGAAAAATAGTTGGAGATTTAGAATTCAAAGTCTGTCTGTTTCTAGAAATAAACAGGAAAATAGGCTATAAGAAAAAAAAAAGTAGAATTCAGTATACATTAAACATTTTAACGGTTACAGCTATTAAAATATGCATACTGCTATTTCATGACAGCAGAAAATTTATAGTAGTCTATGATCTATAAAAGCAGTTGGCTCACTAATAATTGCATATTTGCATTTTAGAAACACATTACTATAAATATATTTTTTAAGAAGCAGGCAGGGTATACACAGATGTGTACTGCAGATTTTGCAGACACAGTATGTCCCTGTTCTATGGAGCTTACCATTTAAAACAGCTGTCTAAGTTACTCTGACCTTCAGAAGGTTAGTTATGCAGGTAAAAAGGAAAAAAAAAAAGGTTGCAAACATACATTTTAAGCTGATAACATATGGAGAGAAAACCTAAAGCTCAGGTTTTAACAAGATAAACTATAATTATACCCACATGTATTTACCCCAAATCTTTTTATTCTCATAGGGGCCGAATGGCAGTGAGTGAATAGCTGAATGCCGCTGAGGGACATTGGGCTTCGCTATTCTGCTTGGTACCTCCGAGGTACTGAGCAGAATAAAAAATAAGTGAAATGATTGAAAAGAAAAAAAAAATTTAAAATTATTTTGAAGATGTAAAAAAAAGGAAAATAAAAAAATATATATATTTTAAAGAAAATAATAAAAATAAAAGAAACAAAAACAATTGGGCAGAGCTAGAGTG